TTTACTTTATTATTTTTACCGAAAAAACCTAAGAGTATGAATCCTTGCAGTCACAAAGCTTCAAATCTAGAATACCTATGAGAATTGGGTAATATTTGCAGATGTAGTCGCGCATAGGAGGTCGGTGATGGGTGGGAATGCACGTTGCAGGGTTAGGAGGAGCTGAGGCTAAACAACCTCTAGGCTCCGAGGAGAATGTGCAGGGACGAAGTCCTTACCGTCATGCGGCGATGCATGTTTATTTTTTTACTTTACCAGATAAAGCCCACTGAGCTATATAGCTCTTTTTTTCAGAAGCGACCTGGCCACAAATGACAGCTCAACGAAGTGGCTTATCACGTGGAAATGTGTAGCAGCCAAATTCTCCAAACGCGTGTTTCTAAATGCGGAGGGGAAAAGCGTATGACCCGGAGAAAAATTCACGGGACTACGAGGAGAGAGACATGTAAAATATACCGGTGTCAGGGTCGGGATCGAACCCACGACCTCTTGCATACCAGGCGCCCCAAGATGCACTCCCAGAAAGCCGCGTGGCTAATGAGATGCGTAAAAATTTCTGCTATTTTCTAATGCAATGAAATTAATGTGGGCAGGGAGGCTTATTGCCCGTTTGGTGCTTTAGTAGCTAATTTAATGAATACCATCCTAAAATACGACGTGAATAAAAAAGCATTGACTTGTTTATGATTTAATTTGCCTGAAGTAATGTTGCATTTTTTCTGCATACATTTTACTTGTCAGAACTAGTTGCACTAATTTATATATAAAAGGCTTTCGGAAAAAATCTATTTGATATTGAAAAGCAACATGCCAAACGTGCCTAAAAACGAATAATAAAATGTCCAGTCGTTGCGTGTTGTTATTATTATTATTATGTCCAGTCGTTGCGTGTTGTTGTTATTATTATTCTGTGTCACTTTGTGAATCAGAAACGCGAACAATGACAAACATTTTTGTTAAACAAAAGCTGAAAAGTTCACAACGAAGTGCATTAGAGACGCAGACTTGGAATGGCACTGAGAGACGGAGATAGGAACGCGTGCATCAGAGAGCACACACAACAAGTTAGAGCCATTGTATAATTTTAATAACGATTTCAACTTGTAACTTGCTGCACGGCATCAGTCCACTCACGGACAGAGAGAGAAAGAACGACTCGGACTAGTTGGAATGCCAGCGGGCCAGGCGGAGAGCCGGCATCAAATTTTGCCCCCAAGCTCTGTGGTCCTCTACATATTAAGTTGTTTTCGGCCAATGAATGTGGGCGCAAACTGGAGCGCCCGGAGACAGCCCAAGCTTGCGAGGGTGCAACACTCAATCCCCTACTGCTGGAACAGGTGGAGTCCATGTTTTCTGTGCCACATTCTGACGAGCGAGGGTACAAGTGCATCGCACCTTCTCGACGCCCACGGGAAGCGAGATGTAACAGTTGCTGTGCTGCCTTCTCCTGGCGAGCAAGAGTATGGCACCTCCTGCACGCCCACGCGTAGAAGGGAGTTCCACAACCATCACTCCTGCTGCCTCCACAGCGGTGGATTACAGGCGGCGACTATAGCCGCCACCGCCCGTATTGACTGTAGAGAAAGTTGCGGGGCCCGTGTGTCGGCACACATCGCGAGAGAAGGGATGGTGGTTGATGGACAGCGCTGGACACAGAATGGCAGCCAGAGGAAGGAACGCGCCGGAGTAGGACAACCACTGCTTCGTCGGCGCGACAGCGCGGGCTTCGGTTCATGTGCAGGAGATCGCTTGTGGAATAGCAAGAGCGTGAATGAAGGATGGCAACAGCATCGCGGGGGGGCGGGGGGGGGGGCTTCATCCAGCAGTGGATAGACCACGGCTGAGAAGGATGATGATAATGAGGCGTGTGAAAAGCTCGTGAATTCATCGTTGTCTACCATTATTATGCTAACTATGCACGCACATTTTTTCGGTTTTGTTCTTGTAAAATAAATGCATGCATATTATATGCGAGCCCTATGCTAATGTTATTCTTCATGCTGAGATTATAATTGATCGGACAAGAGCATGCAACACAGGCAAGACAGGGCCACAATGCATGCGACACCAAATGAAGAGCATCGATTCTTGAATTGAATGGAGACCCCAAAATTTTTCTGAAAATGTACGGTTCCCCAGAGGGATGACTGTTTTCCTGATTTATACATTGGGGTGTGGATGAAGCGGTATCGCAGAAGTTAGCTTCATGTACCGGGGAGGCGTCGCGAAGAGTCTCAACCAAAACTCCTTTTTCAGGAGGATTCTGCCAAATCTCCGCGGTGGGGTGGCCATGTTACTGCTGTGTGTGTTTCCAAATTGAGTAATTTGCGGGAGATTTTTCATCATCGGGGATGTTTTGGCCCCACACCAGTTGCGCCACGCGTGTCTTATTTAGCTGTGGGAGTGAAACCAGGGAACCCGGAGGAAACCCCATGTAGAACTGGGGGAGAGCGTACACACTCCACACAGAACGACACCCGAGTCGGTAATCGAACCCAGGCGCTTCTTGCCGCGAGGCACGGATGTTGCCACTGAATCGGTTGGTTAGCGAAATCGACTATTAAACCTGCAGCCTGGGTTCTAATTCCAGCCGTGGCTAACGTCAGTTGTAAGTGATATCTGAACTGGACCTGGCCTCCCCCCTCCCCCTTCACCAGTGTGGTGAAGTATGGCCAACACAGAGTGGGGGAGGGCCTTCATCGAGCAGTGGATTGACAAAGGGCTGTAACTATTATATTATATAAGTATAACAAAAATACTGACCTCGAATTTCTTACATGAAGGTGTATACGTGATATCATTCGGCAATTTCTGGAAAAAATTTTGATTAGTTTGAATAAAGCATATTAAAAACAATTGGCCTGCAACCTATGTTCGACTCCCGGACATGGCGAACATGGGTGGCGAGCGACATCAGAAGGGGCTCTTACCCCTCACAGCCCTTTTACCAACCCTTCGGCTCAGCGCGGTGAAGTATGGTCAAAAACAACCCCACCGCCAACGTGATAATTAAGCGAACAAATGGTTTATTCAGAATGCTATTTAAAAGAAATTTCATAAATTTGCTTCTCATTTATATATATAATGATACGTTTATGCATTGTGCAGAAAGCATCTGTCAAAATCTAATTACTGGTTGCACCACTGAAACAAAAACACCCAGAGTTTTGCGAGCAATTTCATTTTTAATGTATTATCTCATTTTAAAAGTTGAGTGTGTGTATACATGTTATATATATACACACAAAAATAAAACAAACTGTTAAAATAAAAATAGGTGTTACGCTTTAAGGCAATACAACAGCTGTTAAGATGTTCAAATATCAAATAGAAACCTTTTGATTTTACGCACCGATATCGCCCTCGGTGAAATCGACATCGGTGCTGTGCATCGCTTCGACTGACGTCGTTTCCGAGACTCGTCGTCGTGCCTTTCAGGAACGCATCCCCCCCCGCCCCCGACGTAAACCGGGGTTTCGTGTTATTAAGTTCGACGTGCATGCATACATAGTGTGAACCACAGTAGTGTGAACCAGAGTAGCGTGAGCCACAGTAGTGTGAACCACAGTAGTGTGAACCACAGTAGCGTGAACCACAGTAGCGTGAACCACAGTAACGTGAACCACAGTAGCGTGAACCACAGTAGCGTGAACCACAGTAGCGTGAACCACAGTAGTTTGAACCACAGTAGCGTGAATCACAGTAGCGTGAACCACAGTAGTGTGAACCACAGTAGCGTGAACCACAGTAGCGTGAACCACAGTAGTGAGAACCACAGTAATGTGAACCACAGTAGTGTGAACCACAGTAGCGTGAACCACAGTAACGTGAACCACAGTAGTGTGAACCACAGTAGCGTGAACCACAGTAGTGAGAACCACAGTAACGTGAACCACAGTAGTGTGAACCACAGTAGCGTGAACCACAGTAGCGTGAACCACAGTAGTTTGAACCACAGTAGCGTGAACCACAGTAGCGTGAACCACAGTAGTGAGAACCACAGTAACGTGAACCACAGTAGCGTGAACCACAGTAGCGTGAACCACAGTAGTGTGAACCACAGTAGCGTGAACCACAGTAGCGTGAACCACAGTAGCGTGAACCACAGTAGTTTGAACCACAGTAGCGTGAACCACAGTAGTGTGAACCACAGTAGCGTGAACCACAGTAACGAGAACCACAGTAGTGTGAACCACAGTAGCGTGAACCACAGTAGTGAGAACCACAGTAGTGTGAACCACAGTAGCGTGAACCACAGTAGTGTGAACCACAGTAGTGTGAACCACAGTAATGTGAACCACAGTAGTGTGAACCACAGTAGTGTGCTCTGCTTACACGGAGGAGTACGGAGGAGAAGAGCGAAACGACACAAACTCTCTCTCTCTCTCCTGAAGCCGTCTCGTCGTGACCAGCAGCAGACCACGAGATTGGCACTCAACTGCTGAACCACAGTGCCGCTACCATCGGCGGCCAGGCTACAGACGGAGACTTCTTTTCAACCCCAAATCGAGGCAGGCAGTCATATGCAGGCGGGGGGGGGGGGGGGTAAGCTCTTGAGCCTGGATTCAACATCGCGGATGGCTGAGTGGAAGAGAGTTGCTTGCTGTGGGGACAGCAGCGAGGAGAAAGAGTGAGCCAAAACCAATGGGAATGTATGAATGTGTGTTGTATGTACGTATGTTGTATGTATGTTGACATTCTTTCGCACCGTATGTAGCCAACCGTGCCAATCGGATGTGCGCGCTGGGGGGCGGAGGAAACATTAAACTAAACGCACAAAAAGCAATTCTAGTGAAATGAGAATGGAAATGATCAACTTAACCCGATTGATAACACACTCAACAGACGTTTCGTTCTCAGCGCCTTGCTCGTTAACCTCAGCGTCTATGACCAATAGGGAAGCGAGAAAATAATAATCGGTCGCATTGGCAGTGTGCTTGCCCCCGGCGTGCCTGGAGACACGCGTGGTGTTTGTCGGTGTCTCCCTGGTCGTGCGCCAGGAAACCTGGATCCTGGAGCGAAGCGGAGGGTGGTGCTGGTCACCGCGCGGGTTCACGCCGGAGAAACACCCTCCTCCTACGTCTGCCAGGGTCAGCCGGTGGCCTCCACAACTCTCTGTTTGTCCGTGTGGCTGACTGTCTGCGTCTCTCTCTCTTATCTCTGTGTGTCTGCGTGTGTGTTTGCCAGTGTCTCTGTGTTTCATTCTCTGTCTTTGCCTGTTTTGTGTGTCTGCGTGTGTGTTTGCCAGTGTCTCTGTGTTTCAATCTCTGTCTTTGCCTGTTTTGTGTGTCTGCGTGTCTTTGTGTGTGTCTCCGTGTCCGTGCGTGTGGCTGTCAGTGTTTGAGTGTGTGTGTATCCGTGTCTGCCCTCCAGCAACAAGGGAGGGCAGAGGAGCAACGCTCACAAAAACAAGCGGAGCGCCAGGCGGCTAAAACACAGCATGTTGGCATAGTAGGGGGACACAGGTGGTGCATCGTCCAGTCATCACAGTCAGTCGGCCCATGGCACCTGAGTCTGCCCCGTGACCTCCTGCCAGCGGGCGTCCGACACTTCACCTGTCTTTAACGTGCACATAGCCTGGCACAGGCGCTGTGGTGACGTCACCGCCACTTACTGGAGAATGGCGGTTGTTGTTGTGTCTGTGTGTCTCCCTGTCTGTATCTGTCTCCGTGTCTTTATGTGTCTCCATCTCTGTATGTGTCTCTGTGTCTAGTGTAGCGGTTAGCGCGCTGCGCTATGAACCCGGCGACCCGAGTTCGATTCCCGCTCACGGCCAACACCAGTGACGATTATCTGAACCCGTCCCGGGCCTCCCCTAGGTCGACTCAGCCTCAAATGAGTACCTGGTGTGGTGTGTAAACATCGCCACTAGGGAGACAAAGGCGGTCGGGCGTGGTGCTGGCCACCCACCCCCTCGTGTACCGTTCTGGCCTTCATAGGTGCTCGCTAACAGCACTTGCCCCTACAGTCTATTAAGGCTATACGGGAGATCTTTGTGTGTGTCTCCCTCTCTGTGTGTGTCTCCATGTCTGTGTGTGTGTGTGTCTCCGTCTGTGCGTGTGTCTTTGTCTTTGTGTGTGTCTCCGTGTTTGTGAGTGTTTCCCTGTTTGTGTTGTCTGTCCGTGTCCGTGTCTGCGTGTGTGTCTCCGTGTCTGTCATGTCTTGTGATTACAGCAAGCGCTGCCCGAGCACGTGCTCGAATCAGGACGCAGTTTTTATTTTCATGTTTTACCTCTATAACAAATAATCACGGATAACCCAGCGGGTATTGGGAGTTATTTGTTGGGTAACTCTCTTTGTTGAGCTATTATTTTTGTGGCCAGGTCGCTTCTGAATAGCTCAGTGGGCCTTACCTGGTGAGATAAAAAAAACGTTGTATTTTAATATTCTTAAGTGATGCCTGTCCACGAGGTACTCAGTTTAGATTCGGATATAAATGTCCACGTGGTACGTCACTTCGTTCAGCTAGCGTTTGTGGACATGTCGCTTCTGGAAAAGAAGCTAATCGCTCAGTGGGCCTTACCTGGTAAAAATAAATGTTTATTTTGCTGTATATTCTTGCTTTACCTATAATTTCTACTCCTATTGTGTTTTTGCGCTCTTTGTTGTTGTACCGTTCTGACCTTGTGTCTCTACTGGACATCTGTGAAAAAGAGCTTTATAGATCATCGGATTCCCCCAGTATAAATAAAGATTCTGATTATTCTGATCCTTTTGTCCACGAAGAAAATCACACGTGTTTGGAAGCCGCTGTGCAATGTGGGTAACATCGTGGAGAATCACGGTAATTCAGAAGTCGGGCCACGGTTAATAGGAGTCTTCCCGGTGCAAACGCTGCCACATGTAATAGGAGTCATGGGTGAGAGGGCAGCGGATAATATTATTCATTTATTTCGCTGTACCCTAATCTTACGTTGTCAGTTGTTACACTTCAGTTCAGTTTCAGTTCATTTAATAGGTGTAGCCCTGTGAGCCATGAGGTTCTTGAATCGGGTGCAACCGCAACAAACAAAAACACGAACAATAAACATCTTAAAGTGACTACGCGCAACAGAAAAATCTAAGAAAAAGCAGCGAAGTCTACCAGTAAAAGCACCGTATACCCCATACGCACACCTAGCACACGAATCCACCTGACACACACGCACACACGAGCAATACGCACACACACCCTTAACACTGACGCACCTCCTCCACACACAGTAACACACGCAAGCCACGCTCTGGCACGCCATGGAGCGTCTTAATCCAGGCGTCACCCGCTGTAGCATGAAGACGTTACGCCACAGAGCTCGTGTTACGGTCGGTTGTGTTGCTGTAGCCTGGTTGACGTGGGCCCTGGTGCAAGGAATATAATGGGGGGGGGGGGCATGGGGGGACGGGCACGAGGGGAGGGGCCCTGCCCCCCCTCTTCAGAGGCCAGCGTCAGGGTCCCCACGGGCAGTGGGGCCCGGCGCAGTTGCACCGCCTGCACACAACTACTCGATAGCTCAGCTGGTTGGTGGCGTGTCGTGCTTTGAGTAGCGCCCGTTCCTCTCTCTCTCGTTTGGTTATGGCCGCTTGGTAATGACCTCAAGCAGGGGACTCGGCGACCTGCGGCTGAAGTCGCGTGCGGCTCTTGTGGGCTGCTCTGTGCCCGTCATGTGTGTGCCGTACGTGCCCATCATGTGTGTACCACGTGCCCGTCATGTGTGTGCCGTATGTGCGTATTCACGTGCATTGCGGCTCTTGGAATATTGAGTCTTGTACCGAATGGGGAACACAATTCTGTGGTTGCCGACCCCGCCACCCCCCCCCCCCCCCCCCCCCCAGCTAAGGATCATTCGGCCTTTTTTAAAAGTTGCAGTTGCCCAAGTTGCATGACGTAAGCGTTGAAAGCCAGGCGCCTGAAAGCTGCAGCAGGGGAACACGCTCCCCCGTCGGCAAACGGGAATGATTTGAACCCTCAATGTTCGTAGGACGTTTAAAAAAAAAAACCCGCTGTCACATTGCCCATCGTGTCATCGCGGGCGCGCGCATCGTAAGAGACCCCAGAAAGAAAAAAAACACATTAATTTTCAAACTCTTCACTTTGCCGGGAGAGTTGCGCAACACGTAATATTTACGGCATGCTCCGTGTTGTCAAAAGAGACGGGATGCCCCGGCAATTTGAGCGGTAAATACGTGTTGCGTTTTTTTTTCCATCTGTCGTTATCGTTTTACTTTTCTCGAACGGGTTGCTAAATCTTCCCCGTAAACGCAGTGACAAGAACAGTGGTAATTGTAAGAAATTGTTACTTGGGGAAGGTCATGTTTTTACATAAAAGTCATTCCTGGCAAGGCGGAATTGCTTTCGCCTTTTTTATATTTTAGTAAGATGCCTTGTCACCGTTTTGCGGAAACGTGCTTTTAAGCGTCGCGAAAAATGCGCCGCTCCGCGCCGGCGACGTCTTTTGAGGATGATTTAGAGCGACAAATAACGCGAAGCTGTCTCCAGCGAAAACGCTCCTTGTGAGTCGTGTTTACACCCCACCACCCCCCACCCAGACCCACTCCGTGTGGATGTATTTATTTGCAGGACTAATAGATTTTCTGGTGAGCCATCAGCCAGCGGCCGTGATCTTGCGCGAGCGTCTCGTCTTCAAGATCGTCCCAATGCTCAATCCGGACGGTGTCCATCTCGGCAATTACAGGTGACGGTGACGTTAGGAAACACAACAAGTGTCAGCCGGCTACTCTGGCAGGCGAATTTATTTTTAATAATAATAAAAAAACAATTGCCGCGTGGAATTCCGCAGTTTAGCTGCAGTGTGTGTATCGCTCCGACGTGTCGATAGGCACGATGTCCGACGTTTCGCTCCGCTTGCCCGGAGCTTCTTCATGAAGTGAAACGTCGGATGTCATGGCGGTACAACCCCGTAAACAAATTGGGGAGCCACCGCGGTGCCTAGGAGATGTTAGCTCCCTCGCCTGGTATACAGGAGGTCGTGGGTTCAATCCCGACCCTGACGCCTGATGTTTATTTGGAGTTTGCACGTCTCTCTCCCCGTGGTCGCGTGGATTTTTCTTCGGGTTCTCCAGATTTTCCATCCACATTTAGAATCAACGCCACGCGTTTAGAGTATTTGACTGGCTATACATTTCCACGTGATAAGCCACTTCGTTGAGCTATCATTTGTGGCCAGGTCGCTTCTGAAAAAGAGCTGTATCGCTCAGTGAACCTTACCTGGTGAAATAAAATATAGTTCATAGTTTCTACTGTGACCTGTACAAATGTTGAGCAGTTGTGTACCTCGCGGTGGAGTGGTGGTGCAGCGGTTAGCAGACTGTGCTGTGAACCCGGTGACCCAAGAACGATGCCTGCTCATGACCAATCACGGCAAGGCCGTAATTATAATGTATATTCGGGGGGAAATATGCTCAAAATGTCCCCCGCCAATATATTGCTATAAAATAGATTTCTGTTTATGTGATTGTGGTTATGGTTGTACTTAGTCCCTAATCTCTGCCTTTACATACAATGAAACAAGAAAAGGTAAAAAAGAAAAAACAGAGGAATGGAATACGATACACTATTAGACATTATTGTACAACAAAAATAAAAAGTCCATCTTATGTGATAGTGAATTTTTTAATATTTTCTGCAGGAAATTCGTTTTCAAATTTAGATTTTTGGGGGGGGGGGAGGACCCCCAGACCCATTGGAAGATTTGGTGTGTGTCCCCCCCCCCCCCCCATGGCAACGGCCTTGAATCACGGTGGCGAGAATTTGTACCGGTCCTGGGCCTTCCCGAGAACGACTCAGCCTTAAATGAGTAACAGGCGCGGTGTGTTAACAAAAGCGGCTAGGCGTGATGATGGACCCCCCCCACCCCGTCCTTAATAGGTGCTCGCAAACAGCACTTCCCCCAACATTCTGTTCAAGGCTACATGTGGTATCTTTGCCTTTGTGTGCAGTGATCTGGAGCGCAGAGTTAAAACATCGCACCCGTATGAATGACTTTTAACAGCTTGAAAAAAATAATGGCCCGTTGGCCAGACGATTGAATTTTTAACATTTCTGTTATTCCTCGGAATAATCTTTATTGCTGTAGATGAATATATCACTAAGCACACAACTTTGTTTAATTTCAGAAGTGTTATAAAAAAAACTTTGTTCATTCACGATATACTCTGCGTATCACTAGCGACGGAGAGTGGGGGTGTCTAGCGTGTTTAGTTGGTGGGCGCGTGTGTCTGTGCGTGTGTCTGGCTGTGTGTGTGTCTGTGTGTGTGTGTCTGTGTGTGTGTCTGTGTGTGTGTGTGTCTGTGCGTGTGTGTCTGTGTGTGTGTCTGTGTGTGTGTCTGTGTGTGTGTCTGTGTGTGTGTCTGTGTGTGTGTGTCTGTGTGTGTGTCTGTGTGTGTGTCTGTGTGTGTGTGTGTGTCTGTGTGTGTGTCTGTGTGTGTGCCTGTGTGTGTGTGTCTGTGTGTATGTCTGTGTGTGTGTGTCTGTGTGTGTGTCTGTGTGTGTGTCTGTGTGTGTGTCGTGTGTGTCTGTGTGTGTGTCTGTGTGTGTGTCTGTGTGTGTGTGTGTCTGTGTGTGTGTGTGTGTCTGTGTGTGTGTCTGTGTGTGTGTCTGTGTGTGTGCCTGTGTGTGTGTGTCTGTGTGTATGTCTGTGTGTGTGTCTGGCTGTGTGTGTGTCTGTGTGTGTGTCTGTGTGTGTGTGTGGCTGTGTGTGTGTCTGTGTGTGTGTCTGTGTGTGTGTGTCTGTGCGTGTGTCTGTGTGTCTGTGCGTGTGTCTGTGTGTGTGTCTGTGCGTGTGTCTGTGCGTGTGTCTGGCTGTGTGTGTCTGTGTGTGTCTGTGCGTGTGTCTGTGTGTGTGTGTCTGTGTGTGTGTGTCTGTGTGTGTGTTAGGGGAGCGGTAGTGTAGCGGTTAGCGCGCTGCGCTATGAACCTGGCGACACGGGTTCGATTCCCGCTCACGGCCAACACCAGTGACGATTATCTGAACCGGTCCCGGGCCTCCCCTAGGTCGACTCAGCCTCAAATGAGTACCTGGTGCTGTGTGTAAACATCGCCACTGGGGAGACAAAGGCGGTCGGGCGTGGTGCTGGCCACCCACCCCCTCGTGTACCGTTGTGGCCTTCATAGGTGCTCGCTAACAGCACTTGCCCCTACAGTCTGTTAAGGCTATATGGGGGATCTTTGTTTTGTCTGTGTGTGTGTGTCTGTGTGTGTGTGTCTGTGTGTGTGTGTCTGTGTGTGTGTCTGTGCGTGTCTGGCTGTATGTGTGTGTGTCTGTGCGTGTGTCTGGCTGTATGTGTGTAGCAAGATTATTGGCGCAGTGGCTCAATACCCGACCACCGGTACCAGGCTTATCTGAACCGGTCCCAGGGCATCCCCTAAGTGAACTCGGCCTCAAGCGAATACCTTGTGCGGCGTGTGAACATCGCCACTGGGGAGACAAAGGCGGCCGGGTGTGGTGCTAGCCTACCTGTGCCGTGCCAACCGTCATAGGTGCTGCTGGCTAGCAGCACTTGCCCCAACAGTCTGTTAAGGCTATATGGGGAGGGCGGACCTTTTGTCTTTACACAGGTGCTCACTGATGGGGTTCGACCTGAACCGATGCTGGCAGGACCCTTCACCCTGGGCACATCCCACCCTGCACGCCGTACGGCAACACGTGATCACCCTGCAGGCACAGCAGGTGAGTGGCGTCACGTGGTCACCCTGCAGACACAGCAGGTGAGTGGCAACACGTGGTCACCCTGCAGGCACAGCAGGTGAGTGGCGTCACGTGGTCACCCTGCAGGCACAGCAGGTGAGTGGCGTCATGTGGTCACCCTGCAGACACAGCAGGTGAGTGGCAACACGTGGTCACCCTGCAGGCACAGCAGGTGAGTGGCGTCACGTGGTCACCCTGCAGGCACAGCAGGTGAGTGGCGTCACGTGGTCACCCTGCAGACACAGCAGGTGAGTGGCAACACGTGGTCACCCTGCAGGCACAGCAGGTGAGTGGCGTCACGTGGTCACCCTGCAGACACAGCAGGTGAGTGGCAACACGTGGTCATCCTGCAGACACAGCAGGTGAGTGGCAACACGTGGTCATCCTGCAGACACAGCAGGTGAGTGGCGTCACGTGGTCATCCTGCAGACACAGCAGGTGAGTGGCAACACGTGGTCACCCTGCAGGCACAGCAGGTGAGTGGCAACACGTGGTCACCCTGCAGACACAGCAGGTGAGTGGCGTCACGTGGTCACCCTGCAGGCGCAGCAGGTGAGTGGCGTCACGTGGTCACCCTGCAGGCACAGCAGGTGAGTGGCAACACGTGGTCACCCTGCAGACACAGCAGGTGAGTGGCGTCACGTGGTCACCCTGCAGGCACAGCAGGTGAGTGGCAACACGTGGTCAGCCTGCAGTCACAGCAGGTGAGTGGCGTCACGTGGTCAGCCTGCAGACACAGCAGGTGAGTGGCAACACGTGGTCAGCCTGCAGGCACAGCAGGTGAGTGGCAACACGTGGTCAGCCTGCAGACACAGCAGGTGAGTGGCAACACGTGGTCAGCCTGCAGGTACAGCAGGTGAGTGGCAACACGTGGTCAGCCTGCAGTCACAGCAGGTGAGTGGCAACACGTGGTCACCCTGCAGACACAGCAGGTGAGTGGCGTCACGTGGTCACCCTGCAGGCACAGCAGGTGAGTGGCAACACGTGGTCAGCCTGCAGTCACAGCAGGTGAGTGGCGTCACGTGGTCAGCCTGCAGACACAGCAGGTGAGTGGCAACACGTGGTCAGCCTGCAGGCACAGCAGGTGAGTGGCAACACGTGGTCAGCCTGCAGGCACAGCAGGTGAGTGGCAACACGTGGTCAGCCTGCAGTCACAGCAGGTGAGTGGCAACACGTGGTCAGCCTGCAGTCACAGCAGGTGAGTGGCGGCACTCGCCGTGGACCTCCCTGCTCACCTCCCTCCCACTTCCCCTCACCTCTCCCCCCTTCCACCTTCCCTGCTCCCACCGTCCCTCCCCTCCCTCTCCACCCCTCTCCTCCCTGCTCTTTTTTTACTATCAGTGGAAACAAGAAGATGCTCGGTGTAGTCGGCACTTTGCTTCATTCATCATTTAATAAAAAAATATTTATAACTTTGCTTTATGTAAACCCCCACCTCTCGCTCACTCTCTCGCTCACTCTCTCGCTCTCTCTCGTTCTGCACGCAGCCCTTCTCACAGTTCAACGGCCTCCGACGGGTAGCTCATAACTGCATGCAGAGCTCCCCGTCATCTGCCACCGAGCACACGGCAGAGGTCGCAAACGGGTTTTGATTCCTTTCCCGTACCCGGCCGCACCAGGGTCGTAAACGGGTACCCGTACTAGATTTTAAGCTTTCGTGACTGCAAGGATTCATATTCTTAGGTTTTTTCGGTAAAGTCACGTAGGTAAAAAATTAAAATTAATAAAAGTAAAATAAAAATAAAATAAAAATCACGACGTTTCGGAGGCAACACAAGCTTCCGTCTTCAGGTGGACCCGTCACAGCCCGACAGCTGTATCGGTTCCACCTGAAGACGGAAGCTTGTGTTGCCTCCGAAACGTCGTGATTTTTATTTAATTTTTATTTAATTTTACTTTTATTAATTTGTATTTTTTACCTACGTGACTTTACCGAAAAAACCTAAGAATATGGGTACCCGTACCATACCCGATACCCGACTACCCGTTCCCAGCCGGGTATCGGATAGGGTACGGGTACCCGATTGCGACCTCTGGGATGAAGCCATGTTGCAGGCGCGGGTGGGTTGATTCTAGGAACTTGAATTGTGAGAAGAGACAAGACGTTGGGGAATGAGTGACAAACGGTTACTCACCAGTGACTCACGGCCTACCCGTACCCGGCCGGGTATCGGGTAGGGTACGGGTATCGGGTACCCGATTGCGACCTCTGGCACACGGCCTCCTCCATCGCCCACTGCTCCCTCCATCCCCTCTCCCCCCTCCCTCCATCCCCTCTCCCTCCCTCCACGTCACTCTCGTGTCGATCGCAGCTCGGCCCTCGTGAAACGCAACGTCCGATTGAGGCTTCGTAAATAACAACAACGACGATGATGATGATCATACACCGCTCAAGGCAACCGCATTGACGCGGAGTTCTCCCGCTCTTCGGAGAAACTCTTCATCCCAAGATGTCGAGAGCGCCGGTGTTTAAATCCCTGCCTCAAGAACTCGTTTCTTCTTCTCTCGCTATACGTTCTCGCCGGTGTTTAAATCCCTGCCTAAAGAACTCGTTTCTTCTTCTCTCGCTATCCGTTCTCGAAATTCGCTCCTCCCTTGTCTTCCCGATTGTTCCTCTTCCCTCCCCTCTTTGCCTGCGATCAGATGTGTTACTCTTCATTTGTACTGGAGGAATCCGATGACGTGATAAAGATAGGTAGAAATGAAATAAATCACGACGTTTCGGGCGCAACACAAGCGTCCGTCATCAGGTGGGAAAGCGATTCATTTTATTTTATAGCTACGTGACTTTACCGAAAGAACCAAAGAGTATGAGGTGATGAAGCTCTTTTGCACACATGTCCGGTAGGGGCTGGTCAGAAGGTTACGACAACAAACACGATAGGAGTGCAAAGTATATGAAAGGAAAGGATATCACGAAATATATAAGTATTCTGTTATTATTTTACCAGGTAAAGCCCACTGAGCTATTAGCTTCTTTTTCAGAAGCGACCTGGCCACAAATGACAGCTCAATGAAGTGGTTCATCACGTGGGAATGGGTAGCAGCCAAATCATCTAAAACCGAGTAGCTCGTAGACATGTGCTTTATAACTGTGTAAAGGAGTTCCAGCCACACGTAAGTCTCCAACTTAGTCTTTATTACGTCTTGAGCACAGGGAATACAATTTCGATTTAAAGCTTTCGTGACTGCAGGGATTCATCTTCTTTGTTCTTTCGGTAAAGTCACGTAGAATGGAAATAATAAAATAATACAAATAAAACATAATAAAATAATTCCCACGACGTTTTCTGTCGGGAAGACAGACCTGTTCTTCACCTGAGGACGGCTGCTTGCGTTGTGGCCGAAACGTCGTGAGAATTATTTTATAATGTTTTATTTTTATTATTTTATTATTTCCATTCTACGTGACTTTACCGAAAGAACCAAGAACACAGGGAATTACTCCGTTCAGGCAACCAAACTCTTTCCACTCCGCTCCTTGTGTCCTCCATCCTCTCGGAGACGTTCCCAGTCTCTCCACCAATCCCCGCCGTTTCTCATTCCAACGCTCTCCCAACAGTCCCCTCGTTTGCATTCCGTTTATTTTTCCAAATAACCCCGACGGCCAATCCGATTTGAATGATTCTCCAACTCCCATCAGACTTGCGCGCCCTCCCCCCTGCGATATCTCCCCGCCCGATGAGAGTCGAGGCTCGCGATTTGAACTCAACAAGCCCTGAGGCCCGGTGTGCCTATACAGTCAATCCTCGATTATCCGGCACGCGATTATCCGGCTTCCAAAATTATGCGGTGGTCCCGGGCCGATCTGGCGAAACTGCTACAAAGGCTGTAACCAGACCAGCGGTCGGCACCGTACGCGTGGCAACAAAAAAAAGTCGCAATGCTTTATTTCTGAGTTAAATATTATGTACGATGCATTGTACACTACATATAACTTAAACAATGAAAATACTGCACGCATATACACCATCCCATGCAAGCCTTCGAGAATGCAGTGGTAAGTATGCTACAGTAAATATATATTTTTATTAAAGTAGGATATTTTTGTCTATTTGTATGTTTTTGGCAAATTCACATCGTAAGCAAATGTCAAACAGTAAAAACAGCATACACACAACACCTCAAAACACAATTTTATACAAGAATGTAAAAAATAATAATAAATTTTAAATAATGATGATGTCGATTATCCGGCGTTTTTGAAATCCGGCGCCACGTTCCGCCCGAATAATCAATAATCTACTGTACCCTTTGGTTCTTTCGGTAAAGTCACGTGGGTAGAAAAAGTAATAATAATAAAAGTTCAATTTGTAACGCGCGCAAATTTGCAGACGTAGTGGCCGCAACTCAGAGGCGCGGAGCCAAGCTCAGATCACGACGTTTCGATCGCCACACAAGGAGTCGTCTTCCCACCTGAAGACGATTGCTGAAGACAGCTGCTTGTGTGGCGATCGAAACGTCGTGATCTATTATTATTTCTTCTTCTACCTACGTGACTTTACCGAAAGAACCAAAGAGTATGGATTCCTGCAGTCACGAAAGCTTCAAATCAATCGACTGTAGTTACATATTTACGTGAAGGGTTGGTCTCTTGGCGTCCCATACAAATGCATTCACCATGATAATTGTTGTATTATTGCCACTACTCCACGTGTGCACTTTGTACGAACGAACATTTGCCGAGCCCCGTGCTCTCTTATTCCACCACGCGCCTCCCCTCCCAGAACACCAGCGTGGACGTGTGCGTGGACACGCACGCGCACTCCACGCTCGCCAACAGCTTCGTGTACGGCAACGCCTTCGACGAGGCTGAGCGCTCCAGCCGCCAGCTTCTCTTCCCACGCCTCCTGTGTCGCAACGCAAGCGACTTCTCGCTGGTAGGGGGCAGACGGGGTGGGGGGGGGCCGTCCGGCAGTTTGCTCGCAGAACATCATCGTAGTGCAGGCGAGATGTTGGCCACGTCGATGATTTAAATTCACAGCTGTTGTGTTAATCCGCTTGCATGGCGTGTTGGTCATGGGTTGTTTTTTTTACTCGACTTCACCACGCTGGCGAGACGTTACCTAACTCATAATCAAGGTTTTTGGGTCAGATCGCGTTATTTATAAATGTGTCGTAACCCTCCACCACCCGACACGGCCAAACAGTAAAAAATGTGTCACGTTTTTCAAAGGACAACATAATTCACTTCTTTAGCCCACCGGTGTGTTGAAAAAGAATCAACAGCATTTTTTAATTTGAGTAGTACGACGTTTCGCTGGTAATTACAATCAGCTTCATCGGGCAAGAACGGTGAAGCTCTCCTGTTGCTCCCGGTCTTAAATAGAGCAGCAGCAGGGTGACGTCATCATTTCATTCAATCTGGTGCAGTGATTCGTCGTACTAGACTAACACTGCCCATAGACTAACACTTCCCATAGACTCATCACTGCCCATAAACTCAACACTGCCCATAGACTCAGAACTGCCCATAGACTCATCACTGCCCATAGACTCAACACTACCCATAGACCAACACTACCCATAGACTCAACACTGCCCATAGACTCAACACTGCCCATAGACCAACACTGCCCACAGACTCAACACTGCCCATAGACTAACACTACCCATAGATTCAACACTACCCATAGACCAACACTGCCCATAGACTAACACTGCCCATAGACTCAACACTGCCCATAGTCTCAACACTGCCCATAGACCAACACTGCCCATAGACCAACACAACCCATAGACTCAACACTGCCCATAGACTCAACACAACCCATAGACTCAACACTGCACCATAGACTCAACACTGCCCATAGTCTCAACACTGCCCATAGACTCAACACTGCCCATAGACCAACACTACCCATAGACTCAACACTGCCCATAGACTCAACACTGCCCATAGACTCAACACTGCCCATAGACCAACACTGCCCATAGACTCAACACTGCCCATAGACTCAACACTACCCATCGACCAACACTGCCCATAGACTAACACTGCCCATAGACCAACACTGCCCATAGACCAACACTGCCCATAGACTCAACACTGCCCATAGACTCAACACTGCCCATAGACTCAACACTGCCCATAGACCATCACTGCCCACAGACTCAACACTGCCCATAGACTCAACACTGCCCATAGACTCAACACTGCCCATAGTCTCAACACTGCCCATAGACCAACACTGCCCATAGACCAACACAACCCATAGACTCAACACTGCCCATAGACTCAACACAACCCATAGACTCAACACTGCACCATAGACTCAACACTGCCCATAGTCTCAACACTGCCCATAGACTCAACACTGCCCATAGACCAACACTACCCATAGACTCAACACTGCCCATAGACTCAACACTGCCCATAGACTCAACACTGCCCATAGACCAACACTGCCCATAGACTCAACACTGCCCATAGACTCAACACTACCCATCGACCAACACTGCCCATAGACTAACACTGCCCATAGACCAACACTGCCCATAGACCAACACTGCCCATAGACTCAACACTGCCCATAGACTCAACACTGCCCATAGACTCAACACTGCCCATAGACCATCACTGCCCACAGACTCAACACTGCCCACAGACTCAACACTGCCCATAGACTCAACACTGCCCATAGACCAACACTGCCCATAGACCATCACTGCCCACAGACTCAACACTGCCCACAGACTCAACACTGCCCATAGACTCAACACTGCCCATAGACCAACACTGCCCATAGACCAACACTGCCCATAAACCAACACAACCCATAGACCAACACTACCCAAAGAATCAACACTACCCATAGACCAACACTGCCCATAGACCAACACAACCCATAGACTAACACAGCCCATAGACCAACACTGCCCATAGACTCAACACTACCCAAAGAATCAACACTACCCATCGACCAACACTGCTCATAGACCAACACAACCCATAGACCAACACTGCCCATAAACCAACACAACCCATAGACCAACACTACCCAAAGAATCAACACTACCCATCGACCAACACTGCTCATAGACCAACACAACCCATAGACCAACACTGCCCATAAACCAACACAACCCATAGACCAACACTACCCAAAGAATCAACACTACCCATCGACCAACACTGCTCATAGACCAACACAACCCATAGACTAACACAGCCTATAGACTCAACACTGCCCATAGACTCAACACTACCTATAGACGTGCACTCTCTCAATCCCTTTCCCTGTGTGTGTCCGTCACTGACCCCCCCGCTAGGCGAGCACGGCGTTTGACAGCGACGCGGCGAAGGCCGGCACGGCGCGCCGCTCGCTGGGCGAGCTGCTCTCCCCATGCTGCCTCTGCTACACGCTGGAGGTGTCCTTCTCGGCGTTCGTGCCGCCCCACGGGGCCGGCCCCGCCGTGCCCTACATCTGCGACTCCTGTATCCTCCGTTGGCTTGGGGCTTCGCTCCTCATCATTTACCGTAACGGCATCGATGATAATCGTAACCGTAAGAACGTCACTCGTCATTGTTACTGTTACGTAAGTTATCATAATTGTGATGCCAGTGACCGTCGTGGAGATTCACGACGCTTCACGTTTCTATAACGGCGAGAATAATGACTAAAGTAATAACGGTGATGTCCGTGAGCATCGTGGAATTTTGTTATTACAATGACAAAGTTCATGAAGATGAAGCCTGCGATTATTAATAATTATAATCCGGCTGGCTGCCGCTGTTATTAAAAGGGGCACATCACAAACGGAATTATGGAATCGTGATCTCAATCCATCGTCAGCTTCTCCCCTCAAAGTATTCTTTCTATTAACGTTTGACTTTCTAAATCTGCACGTTGAAATGTTACCACCTAATGATTGGTAGCTGTTCATTTCATTTTTACATATCTACAAAAAAATTGTTGGCAGCCCTTTCTTTCAATCACTGCCGAATGAAGCCCTCCTAAAGCCACATTGGCCACTCGGGCGTCGTCTGATCGCACTTCACGGTGGGGTCAGAGTTCGGGGGCCAAGGAGGGCCACCCTGGAGCCTGACCCTGGCCCGCCAGGAGAAGGCTGTACGTAAAATAACGTCGACTCCACGTGTTCCGTCTGGGATAGCTTGTTGCCCCCTCACACGTGGCGTGGGGTCTCCTCCGAGTGCTCCGGTTCCTTCCCGTACGCACAGAAAACCGCTCATTCATTGGCTAAAAACTTCTTAATATAATGAGGACAGCAGAGCTTGGGCAATGGTTGGTGCCGACCCACCACTCGTCTCCCGTTCCTCCCCGAGTCGTGCTCTGGCTCTCTCTTTGACAGCGAGCGAGCGAGCGAGCGCCGTGTGGCGGCAGGCCTCTACAGGTTGAGACTGACGACGTACCGTGTGATGGCAGGGCCTCTACAGCTTGAGACTAACGACATATCTTGTGGAGGCAGGGCCTCTACAGGTTGAGACTAGCGACGTACCGTGTGGCGGCAGGGCGTCTACAGCTTGAGACTGACGACGTATCGTATCGCCACCGATGTTCGCCGCGTGGCCGGGGATCGAACTCAATTCGCCGGGGTCGTGGGCCAGCGCGTTGGCCACCGTCGCCACCCGCTCCCCCCTGCACCCCTCCGTCCATCGTGCATCATCAGTCCCCACGGCCCGCGTGTGTCACGAACTTAAGCGCCACATATTTTGGGGAAGTCTCATTCCACCCCACTATTCACTTTTTTACTCCACCCATTGCGTCTACGGGAGCGCACAAACTCGAGCGCCAGGCCATGCTGCTCGCGGTATTTAAACCTCCCGCCTCCGTCCCACGCCCGTTCTTCCGAGATGAACCGCCGCTGTTGGGGACGCGACAACAACGAATTCCTCATCAGGCGCCGGCTAATTCGGCGAAGCGAAACTCCGATGTCATTTCGGTGGTCGCCCGCGTGACATAACACAAAGCAAGGGTGCTCGTTGCAGTCCGAGCGGCGGAGGTGTTTATTTAGTTTTTTTTATAGTATTTCATTTCCACCCATCCTCCCTCCCCTCTCTCTCTCGCACGCAATGTTTTGCTCTTAAAGACCCCCGGGAGCATTCCGCTGATGCCCACCCGCGGCAGTCGTTGTAAAGCGCTCCGCGCCACCGCGAGTGGCTTGTGCCCTTCTGAAAGGGACTAAAGGATAGCAGAGGCCTCCGATAAGATAAAGCCACTGTGCATCGTTGCCTCCTCCCCCCCACCCCACGTCGCGCTGAGATGTGTTCACTCTTTTCTGCCGTCTATTTCCCCGCGAGTGAATGGGCAAGCGCCGTGGTCGGTCACCAGCGGGGGCTCTCGCTCACCTCTCGCCCCAACGGAGGGACAGAGAGGGATGTTCTCCCTTCGCTTCGGTCAAGGCTCATTGGCGGTCCTCCCCCTCTCCCCCGCCCCCGCCGACACCCCCCACCGCCCCCCAACCCAGAAGGCATTGAGATAGGCGCACACATACGCACACACATAGGCACCATCACATACACAGGCTATAAACAGACTGTTGGGGCAAGCGCTGTTAGCAAGTAGCACCTATAAAGCCCGGTAGGGCACACGCTGGGGTGGGTGACCAGCACCACGCCCGACCGCCTTTGTCTCCCTATTGGCGATGTTTACACACCTGCACCAGGTACTCCTTTTGAGACTAAGTTGACCTAGGGGAGGTCCAGGACCAGTTCAGATAATCGTCACTGGTGTTGGCCGTGAGCGGGAATCTAATTCGGATCGCGGGTTCATAGCACAGCGTGCTAACCAATTACACTACCTCTCCCCCACACATGAACACACACACACGCACACAAACACACACATGAATGTCACGCGTAAATTGAGAAGTACACACGCGTCACAGATACGGTGTGTACATCTACGCACACGCACACACACACGCCCACTCACAAACACACGAGCCACATGCACACACGTACGCACACACACACTCTCGCAAATGGCTTCAACTCCACTGCAAAGGCAACTCGACGTGAATTCTAATACCCCAAAAAAACCCACACAGGACGTGATTATCATGGCCAGGGATTATGCACTGTAAGATTACACGCCGCGTATCCAATGTTAGGTTTGTTAAATATCCATACCCGTCGTCATGTAACGGTTCGCACACAGCGGGGCTTGCAAGGCAGAGGTCACCGATGCAATTCTATCTCCCGGCGCGGCAGCCTCCATCTAATTGTGATCCATAAATCCCCTGTGAAGTCTTTAACATCCACTTGGGAGGAAAGACATGAACCTTGGGAAAAACCTGGCACGGACTTTCCTGGACTTCTACAGACTTCAAGGCATCATCCAATCAATTCCGCCCTCTGTGGCCAGGTGAGGTTAGAGGTCAAAATGTTTGAGAACTGTCCGCGCTTGTGGTTGAACGCTGAGGACCCGGGTTCGAATCCAGGCTGCCGCTTGTGGTTTAAACCGGGTTCTCATGTCTCGCGAGTCGATGTGCTGAGCTTGGTCACCAATGACCGCACACAAACAAAATCACGTTCAAATTGTGTTCTGCGCTCAAAATATTCTGTTGTGTTTCACAATCATCATCGTCATCAGCCATTATTTATCGATTGCTGTACGAAAGCCTCCCACGATTATCGACATCCAGCTCTTTCACACGAGCTTCATTTCACCGCTCCATCTCCACAGTGAACGTTCATCGTTGGCATGTCCCCTGTCGGCCGCCACTCCGTCATTAGTCTCGTCCACAAGCCGTCATTAACTAAACTAAATTGTTAATTTTACCAGGTAAGGAAGGCCCACTGAGCTCTTGGCTCTTTTTCAGAAGCGACCTGCCCACAAATGATAGCTCAACGAAGTGGCTTATCGTCACGTGGCAATCTATAGCAGCCAACTACTTTTAAACGCACGTTGATTTTAAGTGTCATGGGAAAAACCGGAGAAAAATCCACGCGACCACGGGGAGAGAGAGACGCAAACTCCGAATATATAGACGTCAGGGCCCGACCCTGATCGACGCCACGACCTCCTGCAAACCCGGCGAGGTAGTTAACATCTCGCCACCGTGGCGTCGCCTTTAGTAAAGACGTCTCCTGCCCAAGGCCGTGTTATTTATTCCCCAACGGTCAGGCCAGCGAGTGACGTCTGTTCATCCTGCGCGTGGCACTCATCTTCCCACCTGTCGGCGTAATCCCATTACATTCCCCCTGACCCCCGCCCCCCCGCCCCTATGCGACGCTCAATACCGCCCCAACCCCTCCCCTCCCCCGTTGTCCCCCCCGGCAGTGAGAGACACGACCGCGAAGCCGCGAAGCCGCGAAGCCGGCCGGGGCGATCTCGCAAGCGCGCCCCCACCGCTCCTGCCCGCTCCTCGGCACGTGACTTGCACGGCTGACGGAGCCGTTCCGTCCAAGCAGCGCGAGGTTTCGCCTCTCGCAATCGCGCGTGGGTGGTGGTGGTGGTGGGGGAGTTTGGTGGCAAGTGGGATTATTAGTATTTTTCTTCTTTCTCCCGTTCTCCTCCTCGCGTCTCGCCCTGTGACCTTAGCGGCGAGAAGAGTGCCCGCGCGAGCGCCACGCCTGACCGCTTCATCCCCGGCGCGGTAAATTAGGCGAGTGTCCTGACATCCACGCGCAGGTTACATACGCAGAGAGGGAGAGAGGGCGATGAGGAGGGAGGAGGCTGTTACGTGCGCCGCAGCGTAGCGCGCGCGCGCGCGCGTGTGTGTGCGTGTGTGTGTGTGTGCGTGCGTGTGTGTGCGTGCGTGTGTGTGCGTGCGTGTGTGTGCGTGTGTGTGCGCGCGCGTGTGTGCGTGCGTGTGTGCGCGTGCGTGTGTGTGTGTGTGCGTGTGTGTGTGTGCGCGTGTGTGTGTGTGCGCGTGTGTGTGCGTGCGTGTGTGTGCGTGCGTGTGTGCGCGTGCGTGTGTGCGCGTGCGTGTGATCTCGCCATGCCCTATGCACGCGGAGTTGTTCGAATGGGAAAAGCACCCGTGTAAAGTTCACCGCGGCGGTGGCCTTATCACTAAATTAAGCTCTGAAGCGGCGCTTGTGACTGCACCTCTGCGTGTAATGAGGGTTATGGAGCCACAACCACCCCCCCCGCCCACCATCAGCCCCCCTTCGCCCCCCCGTGGTCAGGGCGTTCGACTCGCAATGCAGCCCGAAAGGACATGTTGTTCAAAGTGCCATTCGGGACCTAAGGTCAAACCGACTATGGTCTTCGTCCTTCCAGGTTGAATAAAATGAGTACCAAACTCTTAGGTTTTTTTCGGTAAAGTCACGTAGGTAAAATTAAATAATAAATAATAAAAATAATAGAAATAATAATAGAAATAAAATAATAAATCACGACGTTTCGGAGGCAACACAAGTCTCCGTCATCAGGTGGGACCGTCACAGCTAAAATTTACTGTATCAAGTTAGCTGTGACGGTCCCACCTGATGACGGAGACTTGTGTTGCCTCCGAAACGTCGTGATTTATTATTTTATTTATATTATTACTTCTATTATTTTTATTATTTATTTTTATTATTTATTTTTACCTAAGTGACTTTACCGAAAAAAACCTAAGAGTATGAATCCTTGCAGTCACGAAAGCTTAAAATCTAGAAAAAATGAGTACCGCTGAAGTGGCCGGGTGGCTCAAAGGTCAGAGCGCTGATCCAGGTCCTGGGGCTCAGCCCCCGCCCGTGATTAAACCGAGTTCTCGGGTGCAGTAGTGAGTCGATCGCAAACACAGACCATCGCGTTACATTTGGTTTATGCGTTTTCAGTTGCCAAAATTCCGGCTCCCGAGAATTGAAATTTTAGCTCGGCGGTCGTGCGACAACGTCGTTGATCTGACATGGCAGAGCGAGTGGGGAAGCCGCTACCCCTCTACGGTGGGCAGGGCCGTCCTTAGAGGGGGCAGTGCGGGGCCCGGGGTAAATCCCACTGTGTGCCCCCCCCCCCCCCCCCCGTCGCCTTCAAACTAAACCGGAGAAGTGCGGAGGGGGGGCCCCCCAAAGCGCGGGGCTCGGGCGGTCGCCCCCGATTCGCCATACCCCGAGGGACGGCTCTGGCTGAGGGGACCAGAGGTCAATGCAGGAGATGGCTCTGTGACATCCGCGTTGTCGGGCTCTTCGCTGTGGTCTGTACGCCGCTGGTGTCCCACAACGCCGTGGATCGTGGCCCGTGGGACTGCTGCTGATATGAAATTTGATACATGATTAGTGTGTCGCAACACCTACAACGCTTAACAAATTATGCCTTGTGACGTAATTTCCAGCAAATGAGCTTTCCGTTAACTAATATCAATCACGGTAATACCCCGATTAACATCTCCCCCTGTTACGTCATTTCGCAAACGCGTCGCCACGTGATTAACACCGATACCGGATTAACGTCTCATCAGCCCCACACACTCACGGCGCTGACAGCGTCGTCCGCCCTTTATCGTTATCTGTCGCCTCTCAGCCTTCGCTTCCTCCACCACCACCACTACCACCACCATTACCACCACCACTACCACCACCACCACTACCACCACCACCACCACTACCACCACCACCACCATTACCACCACCACTACCACCACCACTACCACTACCACCACCACCACTACCACCACCACCACTACCACCACCACCACCACTACCACCACCACCACCACTACCACCACCACCACCACTACCACCACCACCACTACCACCACCACCACTACCACCACCACCACCACTACCACCACCACCACCACTACCACCACCACCACCACCACTACCACCACCACTACCACCACCACCACTACCACCACCACCACTACCACCACCACTACCACCACCACCACTACCACCACCACTATCACCACCACTACCACCACCACCACCACTACCACCACCACCACCACTACCACCACCACTATCACCACCACTACCACTACCACCACCACTACCACCACCACTACCACCACCACTACCACCACCACTACCACCACCACCACTACCACTACCACCACCACTACCACCACCACCACCACTACCACCACCACTACCACCACCACTACCACCACCACTACCACCACCACTACCACCACCACTACCACCACCACCACCACTATCACCACCACTACCACTACCACCACCACTACCACCACCACTACCACCACCACTACCACCACCACTACCACCACCACCACTACCACCACCACCACCACCACTACCACCACCACCACCACTACCACCACCACCACTATCACCACCACCACTACCACCACCACCATCAGCACTACCACCACCACCACTACCACCACCACTACCACCACCACTACCACCACCACTACCACTACCACCACCACTACCACCACCACTACCACCACCACCACCACTACCACCACCACTACCACCACCACCACCACTACCACCACCACTACCACCACCACTACCACCACCACCACCACTACCACCACCACCACTATCACCACCACTACTACCACCACCACTACCACCACCACTACCACCACCTCCACCACCACTACCACCAGCACTACCACCACCACTACTACCACCACTACCACCACCACCACCGACCCTGTAAATCGCTCGATTGACGTCATTGCGATATTCGTCATCGCACCTTTCAGGAACGCATCCCCGATGTAAACCGGGGAATTACCCAATTACTAACGCAATAACCGCTTAATGTAACGAAGGGTGGCCGATTCTAACAACCAATTTCGCACCTCCGATTCGCACGGTTGGCTGCGTACGTTGCGAAAGAAGTTAAATGCACAGGTACTAACGGACACTTAAACAGCTTCACCCTGTGCTAAGCTAACTAATTAACACTGTCAATTACGACCTATCATTCGGCAATCAACTGTCAATGTCCAGCCCGGTCCTGCCACGTGGCTTTCCTTGGGAATCGCGCTCGTTCACCCGACGGGGTCCCAGCCCTTGCCCACACAGGGGCCGTCATCGCCAACGGGAATATCGCGCGACGTTGTCCAAATCCTCGCTCGCCTTTCAACGTAAGCGCTTGCCGCTCAATAAACAAAATCATTTGGCGCCTCGGGCCCACGTGACAAGTCGTTTCGTTTTGGCTGCGTCGGGTGGTGGAGGGTTATCTTGCTCTGATTGACACTTGATGCACGCGACGAATATAGCCAAACAGAAACCGATCATGAATCATTATATTTCCCCCCCCTCCCCTTCCTCCCTCCCCCTGTCCCTTTCCTTCTCCCAGTATATTAGTGACCTTCCCCCTCCCCATGGGCGCAACGATGGCGAGATGTTAACCACCTCGCCTGGTATGCAGGAGGTCATGGGTTCGATCCCGACCCGATGCCTGTATATGTGGAGTTTGCGTATTGTCCCCGTGGTCGCGTGGATTTGTCTCCGGGTCCTCCGGTTTTTCCCTCCGCATTTAGGCTCGACGTGCGTTTAGAGTCTTTGGCCGCTATAAATGACCACACGACGATGGGTCATTTCGTTGAGCTATCATCTGTGGCCAGGTCACTTCTGAAAAAGAGCTACACAGCTCAGTGTGCCTTACCTAGTAAAATACAGATATGTAGTTTTAGTTTTTTTTGTATTTAAAGCTTTCGAGACTGCAGGGATTCATATTCTTGGTTCTTTCGGTAAGTCACGTAGAAGGGAAATAATAAAATAATACAAATATAAAACAATAAAAGTTCTCACGACGTTTCGACTGTGTCATGCCCCGCACGTGGTTCCCACCTGGGTGGGGTGGTGACCCCAATTCGCCCCCTTCGTAGGGCCCTGTCGCGCCGAAAATCGGGATGCTGTTCACGGAGTTTCTGTTGTCCTCTCCCCCCCCCCCCCACCTCGGTTCTGTGATCAGCGCTGTGTACCGGACTCCCGTTGATTTGTAGTCAATGAAAAAGAAATCGGAATATTGATCGTGAAAGCTTACGGATAAAATAAACACGTTAAACAAAAATGTAATTGAGGCAATACACGGGCCCGCTACATCACGTTGTGACGCACACGCGCACCGTCACCATGAACTAAATCAGTTATGAAAAGCAGGAAATATATTTAATTTTTTTTTACAAAATACTTTTGACTGCGCGGTGGTGGTGGTGGCGATGGTGTGCGACACGATCGAGGTTTGACGGTCGTCCGCGGGTCCCGGCAGGATGGGAACCGCTGCTGTGACACGGAAGGCGAGAGATCCAAGCGTGCCCTGTAGCCATGGCTGTCAGACAGATGAGGGTGGTGCGGTGGATGTTGGGTTTAACTAGCAAAGACATGACGAGAAATTAAGGAGTGAGAGGAAGACTCAAGGTGGTCGAAATCACAGAGAAGATGAGAGAGAAAAGGCTCTGGTGCGGTTCGGTCACGTGGAGAGAAAACAGGAAAATGACGTTGGTCAGAAGGTGCAAGTGGAAGGAAAGAGATCAAGAGGAAGGCAGAAGAAGAGGTGGATGGGCGATGTGGTGTGATCGGACACGGTGGTCCGAGGAGCGGAAAGAGAGATGGCGCAGGACAGGGCAGCGTGCAGAAAGGTGCTAGGACAGCGAACACCCCACATGAGTGGGACAAGCGCGTGGAAGAAGAAGATCCAAGCGTGCCCTGCACCTCGAGACGTGACCCTGACAGCACAAATGGGATGAAACTACAAGAACGGTTTCGTGTAGATGTGTACCGCTTTGTGGAATGGTTGTTTTATTGAGATGTTCGGCCTCGGACATCCTGATGTGGAATTTCCGT